TATTACTCATAGTAGATCATCGCTTGCCGATGCCTAAACTGCTTTAGCCATCAGTAGAAACCCATGATCAAGGTCTGAACAGTGAACTGAACCAGAACTCTTATTGCTGTAACCGCTTTGATTCATATCTTTCTTGATAATTGGATGGTTATGATGCGGCGAAGATAATTCCAGTTATTTAGGGGACAGTGGAATGGTAGATCTGCACCTGGGCTGGTGCTCTCTCGTCTTGGTATAGTCTTCGAAGTTCTTCTCTGGTGTCTTTCCTCAGTAGCCGTTTTGTCTCTCTGAGCTTAAAACCCATAACAAGAAGGGAAGCTCAAGGAACGGACGATATGTATGCATTTCCTGTCATAAGTCTCCATCCAGTGTTATAAGAGCATGCATACCGACGAATCCTTACTACGTCAGCCTCATCTAAAATCCCCAGCCCCAGCCCTGGACATGAAGATTTCTTATCAATATACTTAGTAAACAGAAGTCAGCATTCCAGGAAGATCTTTAGCTTCAGCGAATGTACCCTGTACATGCATCTTTGCGAAATTCATGTGTAAGGCATTTCTTTGCAAGTAGACTAAACAGAGACCTGAAAATTAGCATCGTATACTTGGGCTTGGATTGAAACAATCCGTTTAAATTTGTTTCATTAAGGTGGGTTCTTGGTTCGCAAAAATTGTGGAGCGCAGGTTTTACCTTCCTCCTTATCTTTCACAACACCAAGAGTGATATTCTGGCAAAGTTGCTGCTTTAATGAAAGCTTTAATTTAAAAAAAAATACACTAAGAGAATGTTCATTCCTTCTTTGGGTCCTCAAAACAAAGAGTCAGAGTCCAAATTGAGAGTCTGTTATTGGGAACACTTGTACGTCAACAGGTCCATTTACACTTTGGTTACAGCCAAATTGGAGCCCTGGTCAGTAGCTACATTTCCATTCATTTTCGGTCGAATCCATAAGCACATTCCTTGGCTGTCTCTGAAGGCCCTAGGCGATGTTTTTAAGGCGATTTCTTTTAGAGGCATATTTATTTTAATTTGCAGTATCTGTTACCTGGAATGATGTGATTGAACCGTGGACAAGACCATCTGTTGCCCCTCACAAAGCAACTGATACTTGGACTAGATCGAGTTAACTAGATAGTAGCAGATTTAACATGAACTTTCTTGAACTCTAAATCAACTTTTACCATGAACGACAGTGAACATGTTAAGTAGTAAATGTAATATAGCTGAAGCTGCGTGTTTCCTTTTCTTTTAAACTCACCCCATATCTTAGACAATTGCGTTTTTTTTTCCTAAATTCACTCAGCATTCACTCGACAAGTGAAAAATTAAGACCTCACCTTTCTTGAGTATGTTGTCAAAATGTCACGATAATAGTAATAAAATCATAGCAGGTACATATTTTCTTCTTAGCAGCTAAAAGTCTTGAAAGTAGCGAAGTCAATCGTGGAAGTCGACTCGAACTGTGATTGAAAAGCTATCCTCGGTAAGGACAGCCAAAACTTTTCTAAATTCACTCAGCATTCACTCGACAAGTGAAAAATGTCACTCCGTCCGTTGAGACTGCCGTAACTTGAGCAGGTGCCCCCATTGAGTTATATTTATTGAGCTTGAAAACTCTAACAAGCTATCAATGCCTTTAAAGATCCGAAATTAAATTCCAACTCATTCCCTTTCGAGCAAATTCAGTCACAATGCGCCTTAACGACCCTCGTATGAAATTTGACGTACCGATTCGATTAAGATTTTAGTGGCTCTTCTTGAACTCTCTCCAGCACCTTTATTTGCTTTCCAAATTGAATAACTAACTCCGAATGGAACCTCACCTGTGCCGTGCATAGGCTTATCGCGCATTATCAGCAACTCTTATCAGCAATTGACAGCCGGATGTAGCTCAAGAGCCTTTTTTTCTTTTCACAATATTTGTCCACGTGCTCGGCTTCTAAATCCCTCTCCAAGCCACCATCCTCTTCTTCGAGTCCAAATCCGACGTGTTCAGAATAGTTGAAGTAGTGCAATAACTCTAACAAGCAATTTCTCACAATTTTAATTTGTTCGAATGTTTGTACTGACCTTTCCTTATTTTCTTTATAACGATAATAATGTACTTGTTTTTCTTGTTTCAAAAAATAAATAAATAAAATAGAGAGGGGGGGAGTGTAACATCATAACGGAACCTGATGATGCCACATCAGATCAGGGGTTTTATGGGACAGTTTCTCCTTAAAGGGTAGCTCGGAGAATTTCTGAGTGAATCAAAGATCATCTTGAAGACTGCTACGTTGTTTCTGAGGTGAGTAGATTTTTCACAGTGATAAAATTTATTCATGAACTCCATATTTGCTTTATGGACTCAACCAGATTGTTCACAAGATGGCTGATAATTGATTTTTGATGAGGTTGAGCGCTTGAATTTTTTTTCACGGTTGGATACCAAAGGAAAATAAAATCAACATTTCAAAGATTGTCCTAGCAATTCATCCAATTTGATTATCTTAACACCTGAGGATCAGAATGAAAGAAATGACAGCCTCTATGTTTTACAACGCCCTAAGAAGTCTACGATAAGACCGAGCTCTTTCGCACTCTCTCGCACGATCATGAACAGACACCGAAAAATTCAAGTCAATGGTGGCCTGGTATAAGGGTATTTTGAATTTATTACTATTATTATATGAGTGTCGAGAGATGTACTCTGCGAACCCGAGGAGGTCAGGACAAAGGGGGTGAGGTCGGAGGTTGACCGTGCCGGGGATGGAACCTGCGGCACTTTCGTCTAGCGGATTGTGGTACCAGCACTTAAACTAGACCGCCGTGCCCTCCCAAGAAGCGGGCGTAGTAAGTCTGAATGTGAAAAATATGAGCTCGAAAATTGAGACTGAATTTTTTGGGGTGCAATTTTCGACCAGTAGGATTTCAGCTTTACGCTAATCCAGGGTCCAGGTTCACCCGTATTGTTCCATTTTCCTCTGCGTTGAGGTATTTACGAATGTTGACTGACCGACTGAGCCTCCATGCAGCCTGGATTAGAAAGCTAAAAATGTTGTTTGCAGCAAATGTGCAGCAATAGCATTTCTTGGCCTACTACATATAAAGTTTAGTAAATAATTTTTCCCCCCACTTTTTCCGTGTTCCAGAGCCTAAGTAATACCTACTAGAGTTTTTCGCCGAAAAATAAAAAATCATGCATTAAAGGGTTAAGCTCCTTCTGGCTTCATATACACAAACTACGCATTTTCAGGTTTATTAAACGTTGAGTAGAATCTTCAATTATCACTAAACCCGGGAGACTGGAGACAGCTAATTTCGCTTTTCGCAGGGAAGTAGTACATCTCGCTCCACAAGTCCAAATCTTTATTTTTGGTGGGGTTAGTGGAACATGATTCTGTGTTCTTCCCAACACCGGGGAGATGGAGCTTCAAATTAGCTGGAGAGATTCTGTATTTTGAAAGGCAGAAACATTCCCAATTTCGTTCCCCTGATTCATACGGAAAGGAATAGGAGATGGTGGAATTTTATAACGTGAAGGTGCTAAGGAAAGGGAATAGGCACAATTGCGCCTATTGATGCCACGTTGATCCACCGTTACAGCGCCGTACCGAGGATACTTGGCGCCTTGTGCGAAATATCAGTCCAGCGCCCCCCCCCCCCCTCCCCTCTGTATCTTTCCAGCTTCCACAGCGCCAACAATACATTGCGTATTAATTTCTGTTTAATTTAGTTAAATTCAGGATAATTTGCAATTTTTATAAGTTTTATTTATATTTTGCAATAATCTGACAGCCAATCGGCGCCTCCCTCAGTTCGGCGCCCTGTGCGGGGGCACCGTTCCCACACCCCTTGTTATGGCACTGCACCGTTACGTAGCGACAGGGAACAAAAACGCAGGAACAATAACACCATGTACCATGACAATGCTTTCGATTCGTTCCAGTGCAGTTGCAACGTTCTCCTCCTCTCTACCCGTAGAAAAGTGTCTCCTGAATATAAAGGTTAAGGTAGACAACTCAAGCGTATGCAAGCAGTGGCGTAACTAGGGGGGGGGGGCGCCACAGTCCAGAGGGCGGCAAAATAACCTTTCAAAAAAAAATTTATTTCAAAGAAGCAAAATTTCGGAAAAATTTTTTTTCATTTTGCCCATTTTGCCGCCCACTGGCAAAATGCCTATTTTGTCGATTTTGCGATTTTTTCCCCCTTTGCCGCCCTCCGAACTGAGGGCGGCAAACGTCATCTTTCAGCAAAATGAAGCTGATTAATTCGTACCTGCGATCTACAATGTCTCAAGAAAGACTTACTAATCTTGCTATCCCGTAAATCGAACATCAAGTTGCGTCTTCCATTGATTTCAGCGAAGTTAAAGATTTTGCAGCCAGTAAATCAAGAAGGGCTGAATTTTTATTGCAGTCGTTTGTTTGTAAGAATTGATTTTGATATCATTATTTGTGCTGAGAATCATTCCTGAATAATATAAATATTTAATAAATCTCATTCTCCAGTAAAACGCGTGCGCATGTGAAAATAACAATTATTTGGGGGGGGGGGGGGGGGGGGGGGGGGGGGGGGGGGGGGGGAGCTGGAGTATGGGGCGGCAGTAACAGTCNACCTGGAGTATGGGGGCGGCAGTAACAGTCACTCGCCCCGGGCGGCAAATTACCTAGTTACGCCACTGTATGCGAGTAATTTATGAATGGAATAAGTTCTATATCATGCACCGCTCCCTCTACCAGACATATTCATGCAATTTGAGAACCGTAATATAAAGACAGAAAAGAGGCGAAAGAGAAATTCCCAGCTTCCGGCCACTTCTGGCCCCACAAAACAAGTAGAAACTTGTCGACGACACCATGGTCATTACTTCCGGACGAAGAAAAACGTCAAGTCATCGCTGCTATAATGGAGTGGCGAAGACCTTATCTGGAGGGGCCATGCACAATGGAAGTCGACTTTCCAGAACCTTCCATTCCAGCGTGGTACGAGCCGTGTGAAGCCCTTGGGTATAAGACGGGATGAACGCTTCGCTGCTCCCGCAGTCCCGTCCTTACCAACATCGCTGTCGGAGGTACGCTCGTCCATTCCATCCGTGCATTCGTCTTCTGCTACGAAGTTTGAAGTGTTGCATATCTCTTAACTGTGAGGTCCCACATTTTCTATACTCTTTTGCTTCCGTTGGGATCTAGGACATCTATCTATCTGACTTTTTTTTCCTTCTTTCTGCTCTTGTCACTTACTCTTGAGTAGTATTCTTCAGGAGTAGTTTTACGTAATAAATTTCCTAGCAAGGGAAATATGAAGCTAAATGAGGAGCCCTTCGAAAGTTTCAAAGGTAAAAGTTGCAGTATGAAATTTTCAGAATTTCTAGGCTACGTTCCTATGCACGTCGTGACAAGCCACATACCGCGGCAGGGCATTGGCATATTTGGCTCGCCCCCCCCCCCCCCCCCCCCCCTATTACCGCCGTGTCATAAAACTTGCCTGCTACTCCTTAAAACAAATGGGAACGACCTTCACTGAAATATTGGTTTGTTTTTCCGCAGGTACAGAAATCCAAGATGAAAATCGACTACTATTATATGCCGCTAAGTGCTCCGTGCAGGAGTGTCCTGCTCACGGCCAAGGCATTGGATGTGGAGCTCAACTGCAAGCTCACCAACCTTCTCAATGGGGAGCACATGACACCTGAATATATTGCCGTAAGCAATTTTACCGCCATAGACCCTTTTTTAATGTGTTCCGTTCACACCTCAACCAAAAAAAAAAATGGTTAGAAAACTCTAGAATCCCACCTGAAACGTAAGGGAAAGGAAATGAATCTATCCAACACATTGACTGCTGACATGATTTAGTAGATAATACTCCGAAATCGGGGCGGTTCACACGTCCTTCAAAATAAATTCTCTTTTCACAGATGAATCCCCAGCATACGATCCCTACCATGGACGACAACGGGTTCCACCTTTGGGAAAGGCGAGACTGTTTTCCTTTCCATGCACATTCCTACATATGTCCATTTTAAGTATCGCATAAGCAGCTGAATATTTCGAGAGTAATAGCTTTTAATTATGCATTTTCTGAATATGTCCTGCTTCTGCCGGGAAACCTGTGGAAAATGGGAATTCGCAATTTCCAGAGATCCGTAACAAAAGCCTTTCTGCCATTTTTGGAATCTGATCAATCATTCCAGTCATTTCAATGAGAAATGGCGTACCCAAAAATTTGTGAGAAACCTTTGGTCTATCGTATGTAACAGCACGAAAACGTTTTAAAATCCTTCTGCTTCTATAAAAAAGAAATAATTCAGTTTTCGTGAGTTGAGGGTTTTAATGGTATTTTCGATGTGATGTGCCATGTAGCCGTGCCATCATGACCTACCTGGCGAACAAGTATGGAAAGAACGACAGTCTGTACCCGAAGGACCCCAAAGCCCGGGCAATCGTTGAGCAAAGGCTCTACTTCGACATGGGCACCCTCTACCTTCGATTCGGCGAATACATCGTAAGCACTCCCATTAATAAAATAGTGGCTGCATCATTAAATAGGTCGCGGGAAACTATCGAGCAACATCTAAAATTTTCACTATAGATAAATGGATGTTGTTTTCTGAACGTTAACGCTAGAGTCCGTCTTGCTCGTTATTTGGAACAGGTATGGTATAGTGTTTGGAAAAGGCATTTTAAATGAGCAAGTGGACTAAATTTTTAGCGGTACTTTCTCTCTATATGATGAATAGATTTTTCATAGATGGATACATCGTTTTTATATAGATTATCAAAAAATGTTGCTTGTTTCATTTCGCATTCCTCGGTTCCACTTGATTACAGGATTATTATGTTGGCTATAATAATAAAAACGGCTTATAGGCCAAAGGATCAATTTTTAAACGTGGTGTAGAGATGCTAAAAACTTGTGAAAAAAAGTGAGTGCGAAATCTGATCTCGTCCCAGGAGTCCTGTCGATATATGGGCGTGTATGTTGTCAATTCTCACCTTCATGTAGTCATGTCTTAATGCGATTGATGGGACCTTTTATTTTCTTCCCCATTCTGTACTCCGAAACGAAAGGGAGCTTGATTTGAAGAAACTTAAAGGAGAGATTTCTGCAAGTGATTTTCCATCTGGTTTTTGTGTTTTCAGTCCCCGGTGAGGGGGAAGGATGTCACTCTGGATCCCGAGAAGAAGAAGAAACTGGAAGAGGCCCTGGGCTGGCTGGACGGATTCATCCACACGTCCGGCGGGTACTGTGCCGGCAAGCACGTCACTCTTGCCGATTTCGCCATAATCGCCACCGTTGCTTCGATTGAGGTTCGACTTTTTTCACTTGGCATCGAATCCTGTGAGGAGAAGGGTAAAATCATCCAAGTTGCGACAGTACTTAAGTTCGGACACCATAAAATGAATTGGAATGAAACTGAATGAAACAATGAAACTAAGCATTTACGAGGTCATCCTCAGAAGCAGCTTTTCCGAGCTGCGAAGAACGGTTTCTTAGAGAGAGATCGCCAATGCTTTGTTTTTTTTTTTAACGATGTACGTGATAGCATCCGAACTTAGGTACTGCTTTAGATGGTTTTACCCTAGTGGGACATTTTTTTCTAACGAAGATAAATTGTGGATTATGTACTTCATCCGTAAAATCTTTTTTTATTATAATTGATTCATATATTACACTCTTCATTATCGATACTGATTACGTATAGTTGAAAGTTGGATGTGCTATTTTATTGCTTAGTGAAGTATCTTAGAGAAGTACCTTGGAAGGTAGCTATGAATAATATGGTTTTTCCCGACGAATTTCAGCATAAGTCCTTTCAAATTCGGCAGTGACTGTTTCCATTTCAGCAGCACATCCGTCTCCTCCCCGTTTTCCCAATCAATTTCGGTAGGTGACTTTCGATTTCGGCATTCGCCGTTTCAATTTCGGCAGTGCAAGGGAATCTCCTGTTTTCGGTAATTAACATGGGTATGGGGAATGGGGAAGGAAAGGGCACCAAGGCATAGGATATTTTCGCCAAATAATTATTACTTTGATCATGCAAAGGAAAACGTATGGACATTGGTACTTATTCTACCCATCGGTACGTTCTCTCCTTTGGCATCCGATCAAGTTATATGTGTATGTTAGTGCATGGCGAAACCACGCAAAGCACTTCTGATGGGAGACCGAGACTCGTTTGTGGGGTCTAGTATTATCCACGATGACAAACCGGAATTGAATATTCGAAATCGGTTGCTTCTTGCTGCGAGTCCTCCACGTAGGACGTGTTCATGTTCTTTTCCCTGCTTGGAATAATCTCATATGGCAAAGGAGCAACAGGATCGTGTCACATTCTCGATGTTTCAGGAATTCTTTGAAGAGCTCCTAAGACATAAACACACAAGTTGGCCACCAGATCAACCAGTTCGTGTCATCATGGATAATTCTAGACCCCACGATGGAGTCTCGGTCCCACCTGACTTTCCTAACGTTCACGGGAAGTTTCTGCTGGAATATTCTCCTTTCTTGAATCCAACAAAACATGCCCATATCGCCCATCAGAAGTGTTTTACGTGGTTTTGTAAAGCACGAACATACTTGAGCAGATGCCAGGGGAGAGAACGTACCAATGGGTAGAATCAGTGTCAATGTCCATGTGTTTCCTTTGCATAATAAAATGATTATTCGCCGAAAGTACCCTATGCGTTTCTGCCCTTTCCTTCCCTATTCCCCATACCCATGTTAATTATCAAAAACATGAAATTCCCTTGCGTTGCGAAATTGATACAGTGCACCGTTTCAATCGAAGCGATTTCAGCATTCATGGATGCTGTAATCGAAAGTCACCTGCCGAAATTGAATTGAAAAACCGGGAGGAGAGAAGAGCCCTGCAGAAATTGAATGGGAAAATGGGGAGGAGACAGGAGCACTGCCAGAATTAAAACGGCCGTTGCCGAATTTGAAATTACTTACAGAATAATACAGAAATTCGTTTGGAAAAATCTATATTTATTATTACATTCTATAAATATCCTCCTAATGATGAAATTGGATGGATTGTTCTGTGAAGGCGACGGGTGTGGTGGAGCTGGCCCAGTACAAGCATCTGTCGGAATGGTTCGCCAAATGCAAGGGGGAGATGAAAGGCTACGCTGAACTCAATCACGATGGAGCCGTCCAATTCGGGGATTTTGTTAAGAGCAAGATCGCTGGCAAATAAATCCGGCGAATAAATTCATCGAAAATAAATAAATCGACTGAACTTCCTTGCTTTTCAGTTTTTTATTGTTCATCCCTGTGATAGTTTTACTATCTCCCGAAATCGTGGGGCGCCAAATTTTCCTAGGAGTCAATTTGAGAGTAAAAAATTCCTGCAGACAACCTTTTTTATTTTCTGAGAAGTGCATTTCCTTGACATTCTATTCATCCATTATTACCCGTCTGAAATGGATTTTTCCAAGATGAAGGTCGTCCATTATAATACATATTTGCAGATCATAGATCTAGAAGCCCTAGGAAAATGTTCTCTGAGTGTATTTTTTCGTGATGTAGCTTCATTCTAAATATTGATCCTGCCTTTCAATTATGAGCACTTCAAGTATGAGGTCTATTGTCTCGTTAACCTCTTCAGGGATGAAATTTTTGACATGAGAAAAAAAAATCAAAATAGATATTACAAAATAATTTTCCATGGTCCAATTTACCTCAAATACTTTTCTTGATTGCACACTAAAGTAGGTGGGGAGAAAAGGAACTCAAAGGGACATTGATTAATGTTACGGCTGCGAGCACATGGAATATAACTCCTTTTATGGCTGTACAAACAGGGCTCGCCTAACTTCCATCAGGGCGAGGTAGGAAAGCAAGCGGCACTCCTGGAACGCGACGGAGAGAGTTTACCCCTGTAGGTGTCCGCGAGAAAGTGGAAGGGAGAATACCTCTCCTATAGGTAAGAGACTTTCCTTCGTCACCAAGGAAGTTTTCCTTCAGCAACCCCCCGGGCGATGGGCACAGTATTTAAATAGGATATGTCCAGACCTTTCTCAGCATCCTTCTTCCATCTAAAAAGGACGATGTAAGCGGGAATCTCGTAAAATTTTTAGCAGCCCCATTTCCTCACAAGCCCTTCCCTATACGCTACGATACGCTACTAGCTACGAGGGTCACTCAATAAGTTATCTACCTGAATAAGNATGGACTTGAGCCACTGAGCTGGTATAGTGGTGGGGCACTCACGAGACCTGTCGAGACATGTCACAGCAGGCACAGGCCTGTTGCTCATCCCTTTCATATTCAGGTAGATAACTTATTGAGTGGCCCTCGTACCTCTGATGAATAGCGTGCATGAAGTACCCCGCCACCTCTCCCAAAGCCCGTAGCCATTTAAGTGAAGAGAACATGAAAGTAGACGTACTTTGATCTTCATATCTTATTCACATTCCAGTACACTTGACAATGTTTGTCTATACTTAGTTGGGGCAAGATTATAAGTTCCTTATTTACGACAGCGAAAGTCACTGAATACTCGGTAACCACGGAACGTGCGGTCGATCGTTTGAGAGACGAAATCGCTATGCGTAATTTTCACACCAAAGGTAGCAAACTGGAGATGAAAACCGTCGTGGGACCAACAGTAGGTGACCAAATGAGACCATTTCTGGTGAAGAAACACAAGAAGGAAGCGTTGCACCTTTTCTTGCAGCTTTCTAATTGAGGGGATCAAGGCAAAATCATGATTCTGTATTTACTTTTCTAATTAAAACAGCCGCTGAGGGTTTGGAATTGCAGACACTAATTACTCAAAGTGGTTCCCCTCTTGCCTTTGCCGAAACTGCTTTAACCATCAGTTGAAGCTCATGATCAAAGCCTGAACAATGGACTGAACAATAACTCTTATTGCTGTAGCCACTTCAATGCACATCCCTCTTCCTAAATGTTTATCTTACTCAGCACTCGTACATTGATAGAAACAGTATGACAGCTTCAAGCCCATCCTTATCTTAAAATATACCATCCCACCAGCAGAGTCGAAAGTCAGAAATGTCGGCATCAGAAATCGTTTTTGAACAGCGTTTTGAAAATATGGGACCTCGTTTTCGTTCCCTGAGAAAGGAGTTGCAGCAGTGTGCAGCCATATGAGTTCCGCAGACGCTTGTGCTTGGCATGACCATCCCTCCTACCACGAGCTGAATAGAATCAATAGAATATTAGAATCACTATCCAAGGTGAAGGTTGGAGATCTACAGATCACAGGACGGGTTTTCCTTTCCGCGAACGACAAAGGCTCTCCTGAGCAATTTCTTCAATACAGGGTTATCCAAAAAATGATTCCTCAAACCTGGAATAAGAAATAAAAGTTTGGGAAGTCACTTCGTGCTTTAATACTAAGTTTTGAAAATAGAATGAAATTTCACGCATTAATCTACACATAAATGAGAACGTAACCATAAATACTATGACGTTGCAATTGAATCTGAAATTAGTATTTGAACCAACAAAACGATATTCTCCCATTATAATAACATTTTTTTGAGCCACCCTGTATAATTAATGGATCCGTTTAGGTCATTTCCTCCTGGCTTTACCGCAGCACTGAGGATGTCTAATCCAACAAGCTGTGAGACTTTGAAAGTGTGCAAGCCTGCGCTTGGGAAAACAGATGAACGTAGACGGACTGACGCAGATCGAGTTTTGCCTGAAGGAGAGCACTCTGTTCTGATGGTGGAACTCGAGCTGCATGAGCTTTAGATGAATGTTACAGTATTATTACCTGATTGGATAGAAACATCGGTCCTATTCAGGCAACCAGATCTCTCGAAATTGTGACATTTTATGCGGATGACCAACATCCTTACCAAATCATTTGTGCAGTCAATATCGCCAAAATATACAAGATGGTTTGCAACAGCCATTTTTATGCCATTTTCCATTTATGTTTAGGAAGCCTCTATGGACTTCCTCCTCCGAACCGAATGAATATAGCTAAACTAGTTACATACCTCCAAGTAACAGAGAAGCCATACGTCCACCATGCATTCTAACACCATGAGTATTCAAGAAAGCAAGGCTATCGATTGATGAGAATTTAAATGATGGGGACTTTTAGCCTTCTTTAGTAGAAGAATATCCAAGTACTAAGTAATCTTCCAGAATGCCACATTGGTTTATATAGATATAAGGGGGAAAAGGGATTTCTAATGTTTAGAACCGGTTTTCGAATGAATGTCTTTAGGATCCTGTCTATGCCCAGAGATGTTTCCTGAAACATTCCTGGCAATCTCTCCAAATCTCCATATTTCTGTAGTAATGGTCTCTCTCTCTCTCTCTCTCTGCTCCCTTCTTCTCCTTATCCTGACTATGGTGCACATTTTTACGCAGCCGAAGTGAGCAACGTGATTTTACCTGTTATGGTCAACGATTAGATGGTTTAGTACACCGTGGATGGTCTTCTTCAGACATCTATGGAGAAGAATTTTGGGGAAGTAAGTGATTAGTTTAAAATATGGGCGCATCTCGGGAAAACTCAAATCTACTTTCATCCACAACTTCTTATTGCATACGGGAAAAAGTGTTTGCGGCGTCGATATGTTCTACTCAGGGTTTTGGGAGGAAACGTGTTCTCCTTTCTTCCCCCATGCGAAAGGGAATCCGCACTTACCTGAAGTGAATCTTTAGTTTTCAATGGGATCTCGAGTTTGTTTTTCTCAAAATCTTGGCCTTCAAAAAAATGCATGAATTTGGAACGCCGGATGAAAATAAAGAGTTTCAGTGCCAGTGCGGAGATTCATTATGAATCCAAGCTCAGAGTTCAAATATCCAAGTTTCGGTATTGTAGAGCCATTTTTTTCTCCCACGATGAGTGATCCAAAAGTTGTCACCCAATTAGCTATGCGAAAGGAAAGACTCGTTTTGGTGTCCCAATTACTTTATTGCACGAAGCTTATGCCATTAGGAGTCTTTCTCCTTCACGAAAAGTGCAGCTACGTTTGTGCAGCAGAGTATGATTATTGTTTTTAAGAATTGGGACAAGGATATTGTGCTCTCCCCCCCCCTCCCGTTATTCTCCTGACTTGAATCCCAGTGTCTTCCACTTGTTTCCAGTCACGAGGAACGATCTCCATGGAGAACACCATGGCAACCCTGATGACGTCAATCCAGCCGCTGTCATAGCATTGAAATCCAGAAAAGCTGGTTCCATGAGCAACTAAACAAATCGTAGATCGCAAGGTCAAATTTCCCCGTTTCAAGGGAGATCACTTCGAGCAACGAAACAACGCAGCAAAAAAGGACATAAAGTTGTTAGATAGTATCTGATGACCTTTTCCTCTCATCCATGTTGGTCCTTCATGAGCATTTTAACTTATGATATTTTTATCGCATTCGGCTCATACAACGAGCAAGACTTTTCATTAGGTGCGCCTCGATGAGATTCGAAGGACACGCCATATTGAAAATGGGATCAACGTTGATAAGCAAATGTATCAACGTTTCAATGTTGCTGTTGAACATCGAATCAATGTTGATGAAAATAAACTTTCAATATTGAATCAATGTTGATTGCCCACGTGGTTTCAACGTTTGCTCTATTGACGCAATAACGTTAAGTCAACGTTTTTTCACCGTGAGTGTGCTACTTGGGGTTATGTGTTTCAAATTATTTTCTGGGTTGATTCAACGTTATTGCGTCAACACAGCTAACGTTGAAACCATATTTGGCCCGTCAGCATTGATTCTATATTGTAAGTTCATATTCATCAACAATTAAACCAACGTTGACATCACCGGTATATCAACATTGATTCAATGTCCATCAACATTGCAACGTTGATTCAACATTTGCTTATCAACATCGACTCCATATTGAAAATTCATTTTCCTCAACGTTGAAGTAATGTTGAATCCGCGATGGTTCAACGTTGATATGACACGAGTCTCAACAATCTGTTTACTTCTTGCGCATGCGCAGCTTCATTACTGAAGTATTATTTGAATATCATCTGGGCACGATCTACATCCTCAGAATTCGCTCTTTAACCCTTTCAGACCTGAATTAAGGCCATGATCGGAATAATATACTTTTTTGCATTTTTGAGCTTTTTTGCTTTTTACTTGAAATTTCTAGGTCCTATATATCATTTTTATATTTTGTATAAATTTACCATGTCATACCATATATTACATAATATACATATAATTAAATAACTGAATATTACTAAACTGACGGGTGAAAGAAGGCCTCCGATGGAATTGAGACATACACAAT